GGGCTATCTGCAAAAGGACTGTGATATTTTAGTGGAGGACCTTCTAAAGGAAATTGATTTCTTTATGCTTTACAGCTGGCAAAAATCACGAAAGCACATAGCAAACATTATACATTGAATATGCTAACTAACAGTATATCATTTAATAACCCGATGTTGAAACCTTATTTTCGTTTGAATGATTTAGTAAGAAGCATCAAGTTATTTGAAATGAAAGTATAAATTTTGGTGGAAAGAAATAAATGAAAAATTCCTTAGTCTGTTAATATATATTACACTTTTCACGAATTAATTAAAAAATGTAAAAGGAATTAGTATAACGTAGAGGGAGATCATCGAGATTCGAACTGAAGGCTATTCTAGTTACAATGGAAAATACTCAGTTATAATTAATAAAACTATAACGAACAAAATACAAAAACAAAAAAGCTCAGTCATTACTAATTCGAATTATTCGATATAGAATATTTTTAATATTTTAATGACAAACATCAGTGTCTATTTGATCTAAATAAAATTAAGAAAATGTTACATTAACCTTTTAAAGAGAAACACAGCAGCATCAAAACGATCTGCAGATGGTTGAATTTAAATAATGCACGTGTTTTGCATAATTTAAAATTCGGTTTTCTTCTTTATTTTTGAAAGGCTCGTACTCCAAGCTTCGTACATGCATACTGTAAGATTTCCTATTCATTATACGGAGTTTGAACGAAGACGTCGAGTCCCAAAGTCGTAAGCTTCGCTTGTTAATCTTCATCTTTTATTGCATGTTCTGTAGAGACGACTTGTTCCATTCTGAGAAAATCTTGAATGTTTCTTTGGATAACATAAATATATATCTTATGTATGAGACTGTTATTTTTCTAGCAAGCTACCTTCCTCTCAAAAATGATTTCCTTCTTGGGCATTTACTTGTTTTGTGAGTAGGAATGCATTCTTAAAACGTTTTACTTTAGAAACTACTATGTAAAAATCTTAAAGCTTTCGAAATAATAATATGGGCGGGAATAGGTATAAAAATATCGTTTTTTTCTGAATCCCATACTAGAAACCTTTTTGTCGTTCTCTGAAGCTCAAAATTCAAAGCAGTATAAAAATATCCGTATCCGCTCAAATGTTTCATTATCTTTTATATCAAGTGTTTCATTTTCGTTGCAGATACTATTATTATATAAGCTTTAATTTGTCACTTGCTTGAATAATTAAACTACATCTAATTTTACTAAGAATGAATAATACATACTCTGTTAGTAAAATAATAAAGACAATTGTTATATGTCGGGGTTTGAGAATGACGGTTACCTAATAGAATTTGCACGTCATGGAGACTGCATGCAAGTGCTAATAGGCCTTTCCTCAGACTTAATAACTGAACAATTTATGTAATCTTTAGATGAAATAAACAGATGTTGATTTGATAAGGATAACTGTTGCATCATGTCTATCGGGTCCATTTGATATTACATCTGTTGACACATACTTGACTCTAAGTGGATGTAGTGCTGCATAGTGGCATACTGGCCAGCATTTGAAGCTACATACTGGACCAGCATTTGAATTTCATATTCTGCTCGACTTCTACTGCAGTTCGTATCTTCGACAGCTGCATCATCGTTAGCATTACGTGCCTTCAAAACACCCTTCCGCTACGGCAAGAGCTACAGTTACAATCACAGCCACGATAGTAACCAAGACGATAAACACAAAATGATAGCCACATCTTACAGATATAGACTGAGATTATGAAGTTGCTTCTAGGGCTTCAAAGGGGGCTTAACGAGCTAGATAAGAAAACTATGGTTTGGACTAGCTAGCAGTTGAAACTCTAACGGTCAAGAAAATGATGTAAAGTCTGGAAGACCATTGTCTTCTGCACTGCATGTATGCCAGTCAGATCACGGAAACAAGTAAACGTCGTAAGTCTAAGCTAGGTTACGAAGTTGCGGTCTTTAATCGTGTAGGCAGAAATTGTCTAATAAAATTATCTTCTGAAATAATTTAGTAACTAAGAAATTTAGAAAATTTGCAGCATAAAAGCCTAGTTTTGAAGAAACGCTTATTATGTATAGCAGTGCGGTTCACTATAGGATCAGTTTTCAAGTCATCATGGATTAACGTGGTTCTAGAAGATGATAAACATCTATAATTCTTCTCAGAAACTTATTTTATACTATCTGAAGTTTGTGTAATTTTTTTGAAGCTGAGCTTTTTGACTGGAGATGCGTAGCATAGAATTAGCCTTATGATGCATAAGTAAATTCATCTTTTTTTGTCGACAGTCTAGAGTAACTTAAAGGAATTACAGAAAGTTGGCTGGCGATACCACATGATTTTGATATAAAGTGTTTAATATGATTAAGTCCATGTGAGCCTTTGGTGCCACATCAGTGTGACTTCTAATAAGGATTAAATACCTTATTAGATTTTTTATTCTTCTAATAATAGTAGCTTATCAGAAGATATCATTATAATAAGAAATAATAACAGCCCTTCTTTTTCTTTTCAACACTGCGCGTGCGCAAGACAAGTGGCAATGTCCCAACGTTATTTAAAACCGTAAAAGTTGCTGGGAGGAAAATAATGGTAGCGAATTCAATGAATTCCGTTTGCGAAAAGAAGAAATTTGTGAATATTCTGTACGCACTCAACGGTTTATAAAAATATATATAATAAAGAACGAATATTTACAAGCGCATTAAATGAAAAGATATGAAATTCATATCTAGAATCTGTTAGTTAAATAAAGATGAAAGACATACATTTCATGTGTTGTGTGCGTTATTCAATGAACCAGCCGTAGTGAAACATTTAAGATGGCGTATCAATTTACAGAAATAAAAATGTTATTTGAAAAATTAGAGAAGATACAAAATTCAAAAGATTAAAAAGAAATTGTAGTTTGATTTTGATATACCAATTTCAATTTAATAACTGAAACAATTTCAAGCCAGGTCGACACTATAGATGTATTACTGTAGCGATGACGTCGTGTCTTACTCGTCTGGTGCTACCTGCGTATGTAGTTGCTGACTAGTATCAGCATCTATTAATACTGATGATAAGTGCAATAATGTAAGAGTTTCATTTACCCTTGAAGATTGCCATGACTTAGGTATTTGATCCTGGGCCTGCTTAGTGGCAGTTGAATGCCATACCGATAACAAAAAAGATCTCTCTTGCGGCAGATTCTGGTAAGCGAACTGTTTTGTAGTGAGAGCGTTTCTGTGATTGGTTATCAAGATCGCTAAATTGCTATAAAAATTAATTCCTTAGATAATACAACATAATTCCTTAAGTATATAGAACATAAAATCGCATTTTTGAAATGAGCTGTTCCAAATGCAAAATCCAAATGAAAGAAAAATTACTTAGTATTTGAACGTGAGCTAAAGCTACGGGGATATTTGCGTATTAATTTCACAAAGAAAATACTTGATTATTAAGGCATAACTTCACGTTTGCTTGGATACGAGGTTTGTAAATAGTATTTTTCTCAGGTGGCAATACCTTTTCTTTTGGCAGAACACGAAGTCTTTAGATAACGGTAAAATGTTCTTATTTAGTGGTTTCTTTGGAGATGTATAAAAACGTCTAGAATGTATATATTATTACATAGAAGATGTGGCAAAGCAGAATTAACTTGTATAGCTTATCAATAAGAAAGAAGTTTAATATTGTTGCGTGCGTACGGGTTCGTTATGAAATGAATGCACAAGTCCGATGCAAAATGAACAAAAATTTATTATTATCACAACAAAAATGCTTAAATCTTCTCAAATTATCATGCAGTATTACGATACCTCACAGTAGTTATCTTTTAACTACTCAAATGTCCAATAGAACGTAATTCAAAACAGCTAAAGAACGCTAATCCGCGAATTCGCTATAATCGACAAGAGCAGTTTTCTAAACAACAACAAACTAAGCAACTACTACAAACTGAGATGTTTTCCTCCTTTTATAAGATTTTAAAATCACGCGCTAGAATTTTCCAGTACTTTCTCGAAATCAAAAAGAGATATTTATTTATTTAATGCACGCGCTCTTGTATTTTCAATTTTCCGGCTTAGCTTTCTTTTAATATTCGTCACGTGCTGAACTACGCGAGAAATAAAACCATTTAATTTATAATTGAACTAACATTAGCTTTTTAAATACCAAATTCGTAACAATATTTTCAACTGAAATATTTTAATGGATTCCCATCATGAAATATTTTCGAGTCGATTTGGCTCTTAATGACTCAAGGAAAATGAAAGAACTTCCTTTTCTGGAAACAATAATTACTTTTTTCTCAATTGTAACTGAATAACTAATTCAAAAATGTTCTTTTCGTTATCACTTCTATTTCTTCTGACTCGTTCAGTTGTATAAATACATAATTTTATTAGTTTAGAGCGCATAAAATGTGCAGTGCGTTTGATATCATTATAAACATACTTGAAAAAGGAACGTTGTTAAAAATTATATATTTATGTTAAGAAGTATCTCTAATTTTTCTGGGATTCAAAGTCAAACTATTCTTAAAAATGGTATTTTGCTCCTTACTGTACCAGAATATTTTCGCATTAGAGCATTATCATCAGCCTTATACAAAAGAATGTGTAATAACCGTTAAGCTCAAATAAATAACTGAGGTTCAGTTTTTCATGTCGGAAATGAAAATGGACACAGATGTCAAAAATTATAAAAAGAGAAGAAATTCTTTTATTGAATATTAGCATTTTATTTGCTATTCCTGATGGAAAGGAAAAAAAGTTCTTCGAAGACGAGTGTTATATATTTCTGTCAAGAAATAATTATTTAAGTAGTTTATTTAGACTGGAAAAAGGACTGAAAGAAGAGATAAATATTTCTGTGAAAAGAACGATACTCATATTTTTAAATATCTGTTAAATATTGCGGTGTATTATTCTTGCATTTGCTGTATCTATTACATATTTAGTTTAATTATTGTAAATGTTATCTATAATGCATATCTTTCTCTTTTCTCTTTTAGAAACTGCCGTTCAAGAAGATTCTATCAGGTAAGATTTTTGATGCTCCTATTTAATTTACCAGCGCTTAAACGTAACCAATAAATCAAGCATTAAATCGATAATATTTTTGCATTTATAAATTGAATTGAAATTTCAATGAAAAATGAAAATTTCGAAGCAATTTTGAAAATGTTTTCCCGAATTATGCTTTATTTCTGTAATTTTAATTTTTTATTTGAATTTGCTAAGATTCATATTTCGATTTTATTCAATTCACTCACTAAAATAAGTATAAATTGTGATGCTTTATTAAAGAAATTTTTCATTAGCATCTAAAAATTAATAATGAGTTATATTATTTATCTTAAAAGTAGCAGAAGGATGAAGCAAAAAATTACATTAAAGTAGCCAGATTAGCGTTAAATTATTAGCAACAAGAATTGTAACATATTATTCAGAACGAATTATTGTAATAATTAGTAGCATTAATGGAAAACAAATTTCTTAGAAAATAAATACTAAAATTGATTGCTGATTAACTGTAAACCTTAATTATCAAGGAATGCCATTAAATTAATAGTTAAATTAATTATATAAAAACTGCAGACAAAAGCAATCTACTGCTTCATTTGTGTTTTTGTTACATCATTTTTGATTTAACTAAAATTTTTTGTTCAACTAATAAAAATATGAACTTGAAATACATAATTAATGAAATGCTGACATGAATGTGTAGTACAGCATAAGAAAGGCCTTTCTAGCTTTAATCCTCCGATGGACCAAACTAACAGGAAAATTTCTATTAGCTTCGACATAAAATGGACCTATCAACAAGAGGGAACCGAACTTCTAGAGTTTTAAAGCGAGTATCGAGTCCAAATCTGAGTATTCGGATTCGAAAGAAATGTCGTACGTACTAAACGTACTAAATGTACTAAACGTACGAGTTACCAATTAAATTTTAGGCATCTCTGTAATAGTATATCAGAAAGCAACTCAAAGTGTTAAAACCTAATTCATTGAAACGATGATCTCATAGTTTTTATACTACATTTCTAAACCCTAAAACGAAAATTTAAAGTTTTTGAAGGAAGCAAAAAATCTTATAATGAATGTAAGCAAAAGAAATGTTGCTTACCTTCTGTCGGATTTTATTGTATTCGAGGTATTTAAATACTCTTACATTTTAAGGACATGAAAAATAATTTAAGCATTCCCGTTTACTAAAGGAAAAAACAGGGAATATCATTTAATACATAAAAATTTAAAAATAAATAACAAATCTGTAAGGAATGATATCCTTAAAATTAATTAAAAGCATAATAAACAGACTACTTGCATAATAAAAGAAAAAAAAATTGAACATTAGCTGATCTAGAGTTTGAATATAATAAGTTGGGGGGGGAGATACATAGATGAGCCTTTACTTTACAATTATTCCAAATAAATGCACTTATGCTCTAGCTGACATTTTAACCTACCGGTCATTGCAGTACAAAATTTAATTAATGTCTTTGCAAAGTTTTCCATGCTGCAGAAATCAATATATTGTTTCTTTGTAAAGTGCAAAATTTCTCTTATACAGACCTGATAAAAATGCCCCGACCATTTTCTTGTGGATACAAATCCGGACTGAAGGAAAAATCATTCAACTATTTCAATGCCAGTCTTTTCACACCACGACTTTGTTGAATGAGTTCTGTGTATACATTATTCTGTTGGAAAATCCATTCACTAGATGTAATGATGCGTGCATTTGGGAATAGATTTTCTCCTAGCCTGTATAAATATATCCGCGCATTCATTTCATCACCAATCAGTGCAGTAGATATTTTTCCATCTGGTTCAAACGTCGTGCACAACGTTACAGAATTACTCGTAAACCCGGGTTCTAGAAGTATTGAATTCCATTGCGAAGGGCATATTAGTTATTCATAAAACTACCCGTTCCTGTAGAATTAAATTTCTTTCCATCTGCAAATTACAACATCTTTCTATTTTCTCTGAAAGAAATGTCCACATTTTGTATTATAATGTAGTATATTGTATGTTTACTAGGCAGATAGGAAGATTCAATTGTATTGATAATAAATCTGAATTTCCATTAACAATTTAATCGTGCCTTATGCATGAATGAATACATTCATAAAGACTGTACTAAAATTAGTAAAAATGATTTCCTAAATTATTTTGTATAACTTTGAATATAAGACAGTCTCTCACATCGGAACTCTCACATCACTAAGCTTGAAATTATCTTATATATTGCGTATGCGCAATAGTTGACATAGACACATAGATGGAGGAAATGATGTAGCTTTCCTCATTCGTCCTCCTGGTGTCCAGATGCGGAAACGTGCGATTTTAGATTACAGGATTACAGTGTAAAATGGTCATTCAGAATTGCTGACAGTATTCAAAGACTGAGCCGTATAGTAAGGCGGTTTCATCCGCCGATAAGGTTTTCGCTTGTCTCCAGTTGGTTATGGATAATGGAGCCATAACATTCAAAAATTTTAAGCCATTTTCTGTGCTAATTACGGAAAATAGACTCTTCAGTGGCGATAAAATTCATTCTGCGGGACATAATTACGATTACAATTTTGAAGTTAAAATCGTATATAGCAGAGCCATTCCAAACTCGACTGGCAATGATATTTGGTAAGTGTTGCCGCAGCTTGAAATATAAAGTCTTTAATTTATATTCCACATGCATTTGCAAAATGGCCACTTCTTAGAATATTTTCATTTGGCAGATATCATGATCTCTAAAATTAAATCAGTCTATCAGTGCTTAACAAAGTGATCGATTAAAAAGTAAAAAATGCAATTATTAATAATTTTAGTTTTTTTATTTTTATTTTTAATGATGCTATACATTTAGTTGATATATTTTAAAAGTTCATGATATATACCAGTGGTGCGCAAACGTTTTTTGACTGCGACCCCTTTTGTAGAGAGAAAATTTTGGGCGACCCCCTAGAGATAAATGTTCACAAATACGATGTATATTTCGCGCATTTCTTTTCGTTTCATCGAATAAAAACATCATATCTGACTCATTTTATTTATAATTTTAAGAAAATACTTTTTGTATAACACAAAAATCAGTAAATTGCCCTGTAATGAGATGTGTGTGGCTGCAAGTTTCTAATTATCTCATCGATGTTTGGATTATGTTGCTAATTGCAATTCGCATATCATTTTCAGGGTTTAAACGCGAGCGGTATTTAGTTTTTATTGAAACTAGTTTGCTAAATCCAGTTTCACATAAATACGTTGATGCAAATTGTATTAACACTCTGATGGCATTCTTGCATAAAACGGGATATTGTTTTTCCACGGATAGCCAAAATTTTTGGCAAGGCTGAGTCTTAAATTGATTTCGAAGAGTATAATCACTAATTAGATCTATCAATTGCTCTTTCTCACTAATTTGAAGAGTTGAACTGCATATGTCAAAGGAAAATGGATCACGAATCCAACCAAGATCGTTTTCAGGAAAATCCTCGAATCTTCTCGAAAAATTTTCCTTTAACTTTTCAATGTGATTGGAAATGATGTTTTTAAATGTAAATATATCTATATTATTTTCCTTGATAAAATCGTTAAAGCAAGGGAACATGTCGGTGTTGTTTTTATTCAGTTCAGTTTGCCAGAGACTAAGCTTATTCTTAAAAGCTTGAATTTTACTGGCTGAAGTTATGATAGTTGAATTCTCACCCTGCAAGCTCAAATTTAAGTCGTTAAGTTTTTCGAAAATATCAACTAAATAGCTCAGCTTCCCTAGCCAAACTTCATTGATATAATAACTTGCCAATCTATGTTTCTTTTCGATTAAAAACATGTACACTTCATTTCTCAAATCAAATATCCGTCGTAGTATTTTCCCACGTGAAAGCCATCTGACTTCGGTGTGTAACAGTAATCTCTCATACGTTGAGCCCATCTCATTGCAAAGTATTGAAAAGAGACGGCTGTTGTGGCTGTTGCATTTAATGTAGTTAATTGAACTAACAGCGTCTTGTAATATGTTGTGCAACTCTTCATCCATATCTTTTGCAACAAGAGCTTGCCGATGAATCATACAGTGATTAAATACCATATGAGGCGCCACCTTCTGAATTAAGCCTCTGAGCCCTTTATTCGAACCTGTTAATGCTGCAGCACCATCAGTACAAACCGCAACACAGTTTGCCCAGGTAAGGGACTTTGTTTCAAAATATTCATTTATTACTTCGAATATTTTTTCTCCAGTTGTTTTTTTCCTTCCAAACTTTTGCAACATAAAAACGTTTCTGTTATATCTTCATTAAAAATAAACCTAACGTAAATAATTAGTTGTGACATTTTAGTAATATCGGTAGTCTCGTCCAGTTGTAAAGCAAATACAGATGAATTTTGTATGCGTTTTATGACTTCTGACTCGATATTTCGTGACATTTCGGAAATCCGCCGAGACACGGTATCTCTTGATAATGGTATTGTTTTTAGTTCATTTCCATATTTATCGCCATGCATAATTGATGTCATCTTAGTTGCTGCAGGAAGGATGCATGTCATCTTAGTTGCTGCAGGAAGGATAAGGGATTCTCCAATTGTATGGGGTTTCATTGTTTTTCCTATTAGATAAGAAACTTCTAAAGAAGCTCGTAATGCTTTCTGAGGTATTGTTGTAAATTTCTTTAAATGTGCACTTTGAATTTTCAGATTTTCAGCTCGTCTTTGAAAAAAATCGGCATGTTTATTTTGAAGTTCTTTATGTTTAGTTTCCAGGTGCCTTTTTAATTTAGCTGGTTTCATGCTCTCATTTGCTAATTTTTCGTTGCAAATGACACATATCGGGCGTTCTTCATCATCAACAACACAAAATGTAAAACCATACTTAATAAATTCCTCATTGTATTTTCTTATTTTTTTAGATCGGGCATTTAGTTCAGTATTTTGCGACTCCTCATCAGTATTTGTTCGTTTGTTAGCTGAAGATGTACCTGGTGTACGTATTACCCATTTATCCATTATGAAGATAGGGGTTAAATTATTTAAAC